GAGATATGCACCAATAAACTCAGTGCAATTCATTTGTTTAACTGAAATTTAGAAATATCAGCTTCAATGAGTTAGCTGTTTGATTATGTGAGAAATATCTCGCCAATCTTCTCCCACATTCTCAAGCTCCTTCTGCTGGCTTTTCAAGTGACAAAAATCTCAATTTCTTCTTTTCCAGGCATCTGTCAACACTTAGCTTTTCTCTAGATAGTTTCTACAGTGTAGTTAATAGTTTCACACACACACACAAAAAACAAACAAACAAACAAACAAAAAACTATATCATCTTGAATGCTAAATATGTGTAATATGTGCAAGCATCAAAACATGAACTTAATGTAAAGATAAATAACACAGAGACTACTCAATTGTTTTAATTTATATTTAATTATTGATAAGAACTTTAATAAAGATACTACTGAATTTCCACGTTATTGTACTTGCTGGAGATCCTTACAAAATATAAGTTCAGCCTTTTGTGCCCTTAAGTAAATACGTTTACAGTCTGTATAATACCTTCTAATAATTTAATAAAATGTATGGATCTGATCTTCAGATAAGTGAGGTCTGGAATGCGCTACTAGCCTGAAGCTCAGGATAAGATCTGCTTTGCCCAAAGGCATCTGCCTTGAAGTTGGCTATCTTTACCTGTTGAACTATTCATTAGTTCAGAGATAAGTGCCACCAGCAGACATTTCTGAGTAACCATCCTAACAGAGGTCTCCAGAGTACAATGGATAACCACATTTTGGAGCTGTCTTGTTTCTGTCCTGTTGGCTACTCAGAGTGTGGAGAACTAGTTTGAAAGAGCTGGTTAGTCCAGTGCAAAGGGGTGAATGAGAACTCCAATTCATAGTAACATTAAGGTTGGAAAATACCTCTAAGATCATCTAATCCAAACGTCCACCTACTACCAAAATTGCCTAACTAAACCATGTTCCCTAGTACCACTTCTACATACTTCTTGAACACCTCCAGGGACAGCAACTCCACCGCCTCCCTGCGCAGCCCATTTTAGTGCCTGACCACTATTTCTGAGAAGTTTTTCCTAATGGCCAACCTGAACCTCCCCTGGCACAACTTAAAGCCATTCCTTCTCACTCTATCACTGCTACCTGGAAGAATATGCCAAACCCCACCTTGCCACAACCTCCTTTCAGGTAGTTGTAGAGGGCAAGAAGGTCTCTTCTGAGCATCTTCTTCTCCAGACTCAGTTCCCTCAACTGCTCCCCATCAGGCTTGTTCTCCAGACTCTTCACAGCTTCACTGTCCTTTTCTGGACATGCTCCAATGTTCTTCTGGTAGTGATGGGCCCAAAACTGAACACAGTACTCAAGATGTGGCCTCACCAGAGTTGAGTACAGGTACTCCCTGTCCTGTTGCAACACTATTTTTTACACAAGTCATTGGTCTTCTTGGCCACCTGGGACTCTGCTGGCTCATGTTCAGCTAAGCATCAACCAACACCTCCAGGTTCTTTTCCCCTGCACAGTCTTCCATCCACTCTGCCCCAAGCCTGTAGCAATGAATGAGGTTGTTGTCACCAAAGTGCAGGACCTGGCACTTGCGCTTGCTGAACTTCATCCCACTGGCCTCAGCCCAGTGGTCCAGCCTGTCCAGATCCCTCTGTAGGGTTTTCCTACCCTCAGGCATATTGTCACTTCCTCCCAACATGGTGCCATCTGCAAATTTACTGAGAGTGCACCCAATTTCCTCATGCAGATCATCAATAAAGATATTAAATTCAGCTAGTCCATAGTGGCATTATGGACCTCAGAGAATTTACAAGACTATGGAAATCAGTGCAAGGCTTAAACCAGCTAAGAAGTTGGATAGAGCTATGAAGCAGAATACCTGTATATGTTGCTTCCCCAGTTCAGTTGCAATGGGGAACTGAGGTAACTAAACAAAAGTTGCCTTGAGTCAGTTGCTACTATGGATAAGTCTGTATTTATGCTGCATTATTAGCTATATTAAACTACATAGTCTGAATTTTATGTTTGTTAGCAGTTTCTTAAACATTGCTGAGACTACAGAGATCAAAAATTGAAAGTTTAAGTGCTATATCAGTGCGAAGAGTTGCATTAACAGCATTCTTCTTAAAAAATGTAGGTTTCCTTCTACAGATCCTTAAGAAAAGATGCTCACATCTTTGTTACCTGCATGGTGTCTGAACATAGAAGGAATAGTCTTGAATTATTCTAGCAATTTGTGTGCCCTTTTGATTACTTTCTGGAGAAAATATTTTTTTAAAGTGACTTTTCCATAAGATTGGCAAAAAAAGTTGAAATGAATGTTGGAGTTTGGGGAAGTTATCCACCATCAAATTAAAATAATGATATAAAACAATTCACCTGAATGTGGAATGTGGCTGTAGCCAAGGAAAGGTGCAGAAGCAACACTTTTGTAGAATGCCAACAAGAGCAAAAACAAACAAACAAACAAACAAACTGTTTTCTAAGATCCTTGTTCTGTAGTAAGCCTGCTAAAAGCTGAGAAGAAACGTATCTGTTTTGCTAAATCAGATGAACCTACAGTAATTTCCGACTGAATTGCTGTATCAGACTGAATTTGGCATACTGTTCTTGGAGAGAGAACTTTGTTATTAACTATCCAAACTCCTTCCTTTTATCTTTCTGATAGAAGTCTTCAGAACTCAGGTAGTGAGTTGTTCAGTACTTGGTGACAGGTCCTCCTTTCTTATTTCAGAGCACAAATATTATTAAGAGAAAAAGAACTTCAGTCGGATGAAATACTATAATATTCCCTGAAGAAAGTTTTTAATCAGCAGTTTCAAAGGAGCTGCTCTCTTAATGAGCAAATGAAATGTAAATTCAGCCAATGGTTTTCATGTTGAATTTGCAGACTTCCTTACAGCTCAAGAGTGCAAAAGACTGATGTCAGTGGCCTGTAGGCACTTGCACTTACTGCCCAGAAGCCATGGGATTGAAAAGTTATTTGCAATTTAATCAGATGGAGGATAACCTATAGGTAGCAATGATAAAAATAATTAGCTCGATGCCAGTGAGCAGCTGACATGAAAACCATATATAGAGCTTGATTTATATACTCAGCATAGCTTTATTCACACAAAAAAACAACTTCCTCTTAAAAAAAGTATCTTTTTTTTAGCCCAAGTTTTTAGGCTTGTTTGAATTCTACTTGCTTGGCTAAGCTAAATGCAATTCCTGGCAGCAGCATTTCGGCATGTTCATTAAGTGCAATACTATATCATTGCTTTAAAAACATAGTGAATTGTAAATAAGCAGTGAACATGATGACTCCACAAAAGCAAACCCAGCACTAACCAGTAGTTTAGCTGCAGGCAATTTCAATCGTTAATGCTTTTACTGTGTGCTGGTTTCAGCAGTTTTGAAGGTCTCTCTCCTGAGCAGCGCTGTTCTGATGCTGCGTTGCCGTTGCCTGCTGACTGAAGTTGAATCAATCTGCAAGTCAGGACAGTGCTTCCAGACAACCTCCATAGCAACCTGATCACGACAGTGTGTCCTGCTGACAGGAACTTTTTATTTTGAAAGAAGTATTTTATCTATACAATTGAAAGAAAATCCCTTTGGTATAATCATACTTCACTCATGTCAAGATTGTCATTCTAGTTCAGAAGTAAAGCTGTACTGATTTCCAAGTGTGGTGTTCAGCCTCTGTGTTGACACCTGGTTATCACCTGAATCAGGTAGGAACATGTAGATTTCCAATTTATATCACTTTCACTGCTACTGAATGGCATTTTTTTGTGAGGTGGAAATATTTCTCTGTAAGCAACCAGTCAGATATACGGGCACTGGGAGCAGCTGGATCTTTTTATTCTTTTTTTAAAAGTTGGACATTGTGTAACACAATCTCTCCCCAATGTGGGTTCTAAAAAAACGTGAGTTGATACCACAGCCTCTTCCTCAGCTGCAGTTTCCTGGCCACTCATTTTCATGAAACATAGGAATGACATTATCTTTGAGTACTCTGTGTTCAGTTTGGTCGCTACTGTATAGTAATGAGCACAGAAACCTCATTTCCCCAGAAAATTAGCTGGAATTGTATAATTCAGACCATGTTTTATTACAGGTTTTAGTGCAATTCCTATCAGTTTGGACACAAAATCCTGCTCAAAAACCAAAAGTGCTGTACTGTTCATGAGGAATGCTGATCTAGAAGAGCTACTTAGTATAAAATGCAAAGCTGCTCTTTCTTAGGGTGAAATCTGTAGTCTGAATTAGAAAGAACCAGACTGTCATTCTGAGAATCTCATCTCTGTCATCTACCCATTTCGTAAGGCTACATGGCATCCTGAAACTTGCATGGAACTGTTTATGTACCACGTAGATAAATGCAGGATAAATTACAAGGACAAGTTGTTTATTCAGAACTTCCCCTGCTAATCCTGGTCCTCCTGTTTCATTGTTGCTTGAGTTAGATGTGTAAGAGATATAAAGGAAGGTTTCTCCATTGGAAGCTGCAGGTAAAACTGTTTACCTTAACCATAGAGATATTGTGAGCACCCTTTGTTATAATAGCCCATTTCTAAATATTCTAATTGTAAAAAGATATTGTTCAAACCATTTGAAAAGTAGTGTTTCAGAGATACTTAGATTGTGTTTGTATATTCAGTTCGTACAGTTAAAGCACCAGTATCTGTTTTCTTTTACTGCATTTTTAGCTGAATAGCAACATTTCTTGATTTGAAGCTGCATCTCTCTAATGACCTTTGCTGAATGCTAAATTTTAGATTGCATTTACATATGAGACATTGCTATTTTATTAAGTAGGAGACATAATATGAGGATAATCAGTTTATCTTAAGCTGTAATTCTCTGTCTAGCAAGGATTCAAATTTCTAGGATAGCTAATGGCTCAGTGAAGTCTGGTAAAATGTCTTTGAGATAAATCTCAGCATAATGAGATCAGTTAGATCTAACTGTAAAATAGAAGAGAAGCTTAATTTTAATTTTCAAATGCACAGTTTGATGCTTTGCTTTTTTATTTTACAGCTTGACAGAGATGCATCTGAAACAAGGAATGCTGGAACTGGAATGATCTTTTGAATATGCATAAACTAAAAAGGGAAAAACCAAATGGGGAAAAAAAGAAAAAAAGTGTGGCTAGCTTCATGTAGAGATGGATTTTCTATTCCACAGAAACTAATTTGCCTCCAATGCAAATTCTCTGTTGAAAGGATGTGCCTACACTGCAGCTGGAATGCTTCAGACATAGGTTATGTGGGTACTAAAGCGGTATGGGCAGTAAAATAACAGTAACAGTAAAAATTTAAATCACAGAGACTATAACAAATGTAATCAAGGGCTCTGTATCAAATTCAGAAACACCTGGTTTCTTGGTGTTTAGGTTTGTATTTTAATAAATGAGTTGACAACAGTTTCCACTTTCATTTTTAAATGTGTGCAGTACATTGTGCTTTTGGTTTTTTTACTGTTATAATGCAGTCCTTGTGCATTTCCGTCCTTGTGACAGAAACTGGATCCCCTCTGCAGTATCAAAGCTTCTGCTTAAGCACACAGCACATGCAGTGACAGTGCAAAGGTTTTAGGGCATTCAGTATATTTTCACTGTGAAATGCTAAGGGATTTGCCTACACACAAAAATATTCCAGAACAACAACATGGTATATGTTGACTTTTATATATATGGTGACTTTTCTGGCATTGCCCCGTGATTTGGAGTCTGGCAATGTAAATAACTGTGAATAGCCTTCTCAATCATTAGCTTCTGAGACAGCTCAGGAACTACTATCAATTGTCACTGCTGTGTGTGATTTGTGGTACTAGTGTCACCTGAAATCTACATTAAAATTAATATTATCATAGAATCATAGAATCATAGAATCACTAAGGTTGGAAAAGACCTAAAAGATCACCCAGTCCAACCGTTCACCTATTCCCAATAGCTCCTACTAAACCATGTCCCTCAACGCAACATCCAGTCTTTCCTTGAACACCCCCAGGGTCGGTGATTCCACCACCTCCCTGGGCAGTCCATTCCAGTGCCTGACCAATTTCATTTCAGCGGGAAGGAACACCACTTCTGACAGCTCTTATGAATTAACTCTGAATGACAGGATCTTGGTAGATGTAGGAGATAGCTTACACTGAGCACAGAGATCCTCAGTTCTCACCACTTTCGAGACTCAACATCCTCACAGAGTTGTGGGCAAGAGACAGAGGGACTGAGGGCTGTAGTCCCTCTCTCAGCACTCAGCTCTTTCAGATACTGGCTGCATATATTGAAAAGGAAAACATGAGGCACAGAACACAGGCATGAATGGCCTTCTTTCTTGAGCAGTGCAGAACAGCAGTAAAAAAGCTTTATGGTGTCTGTGTTGAGGCAGAGGTTGTGACAAGTAGTGTGCTTCAATGTGAGGCAGAGGGGAGAAAATAGGATCAGGAAATAGGAATAGGAATAGGAAAATAATAAAAAAAAAAAAAAAAAAAGTATACTTCTGAGAGATAATTTGATAAGCTAAGTAAAAAGCCCTTAAATCTAGCAGAAAAAGTAAACATTTTAAAGAGGAAATGAAAACTGACAGCACTGCTTTCTGCTTGTCTGTACCTGTTTATCTACACCCATATATCCAAAGCATGCCCAGAAATGTGGAATGCGTGGCTCTGAGATGGAACTGCCTGTACTAGCACACTGCTAGAGCCCTTCCCAGCCCAACCCTGGCTCCTACCAAGGTCCCTTCTGGCAGGCCATGTCCAGTGCTGGGCAGCTTTGGTGCCTTAGTGCCCAGGGACCGCTTGCAGCACAGCTTACACGGGGCTGCTCTCTGTGTCAGGGACTGCATCTCCTGGCATGGATGAAGCCTCCTGGTAGTCCAGCCTCTTGGACATGTTCCTTATGTCCAGAACACTTTGTGAAACAAGATTTCAGATTTTTAGCCTGGCTTTACCTAGTTGGATTGATTCTGCGTGAGAAATGCCTCAACGAGCTACCCTAATTCAGTGCTGCATGGCGACAGGAAGCTCGGCAGGCATCAGCTCTATACACAGCACTGCACAGAGAAAACATCCAACTTTGCGTTAGAGAAACTGCCGATAACAGTTTATTAGGAGGAAAACTGACTTTCCCGAACAGCGCAGTTCTGCGGAGCAGCGTGAGGAGGGGAGAGTGGTTAAGCCTGTTTCACAGTTTACAGCCGACCAGCTCTGGAGCAGCTGACCTTGAACATGGCTTGCTCGAGCATCCTGATATTAACTACGACCATTGCTTTTGTGAAGAACACAGTCCCCTGGCTCCCCGCAGCCCGCGCTGCACAGCAGCTCCCCGCACCGCGACGGCGGTCGCCAGCCCCAGTCAGGGCGCTCTGCGCCTGCGCAGCGCCCGCCGGAAGCGAGCCTCCGCCCCGCCGGCTGGCGAAGATGGCGGCGTCCACGGGGCGCTTAGCGGTGCGGCGGCTCTTCCTGCCCTGGTGCACCCGCTTCGTTCGGCCGTCCGGCTCTGGGAATCGGGTAGGCGGTGGAGCGGGGATAGAGAGGGGAGTTCTGGGCGGCATCGGCGCTTCGACGGCTCTCTGCGCTGCTCGGGCCGCCGCAGTGAGGGCGGGGGGCTGTAGGCCGCGTGTCGCCGTGCACGACGGGAGTTGTAGTCTTAGCGTGGGAGCCGAGGCGCTGGAATGGCGGGAGTGTCAGCGCCCGGCTGCGTGCCTTCAGGGGCGGGGGGTGTCGGGAGGGGCTGTGTGCTTTCTGTGCGGCCCAGGAGGCTTTTGAGACCACCTGAGCAAACAAAGCCAAACCAGAGCTGGGCTTCTTCCCTTTGTTGAGGAAAAGTCTCTGGAAAGACCTCATTAAGGCCTTCCAATACTTAAAGGGTGCTTATAAACAGAAATCAATTTCCTGCAAGGGCAGACAGTGATATGTTTTAAAACTAAAACAGGGGAGATCTTGATCAGATGTAAGGAGGAAACTTTTTATTCAGAGAGCGGTGAGGCCCTTGCACAGCTGCCCATAGAGCTGTGGGTGCCCCATCCCTGCAGGCACTCAGGGCTGGGTTGGACGGGGCCCTGGGCAGCTGAGCTGTTGGGGGGCAGCCAGCCCATGGCAGGGGGTGGGGATGGGGGGGCTTTAAGGTCCCTTCCAACTCAAGACATTCTATAATTTCTTAATGATTTTTTTAATGTTAATTTCTTGTAACTTTTCTTCTGGATTAACTACAAGGTGGCAATTTCAATATCTGCCTTTATTCTGGGCAGCAGATGACTGTGACTTGCAGTCTTAGACATAGGCCCCAACATTTAGTTGAAGGGAAGCAGTTGCAATCTAATTCATTTCAGTTGCCTTAAAATGTATGAGGAGCAGTTGGAGTCGTTTGGTTTGTTCAGCCCAGAGAAAGGGAGGGGAGCTTCCTCATAAGGAGAGCGGAGGGGCAGCAGTGATCTCTGCTCTCTCTGGTGACAGTAACAGGACCCAAGGGAACAGCATGAAACTGCGACAGGAGATCCTCAAGTTGGATATGAGGAAAATGTTCTTCACTAGAGGGTGACTGGGCACTGGAGCAGGCTCAATGGGGCTGTGGTCAAGGCACAGAGCTTGCCAGAATTCAAGAAGCATCTGGACAACAGTCTCAGACATATGGTCTGATTGGTTTTTTTGAGTGGTGTTGTCTGGAGCAAGGAGTTGGACTCAGTGATCCTTGTGGGTGCCTTCCAACTTGGGATATTCTGTGATGCTTTTTTTTTTTTTCCTTCTGAGTTGGTTAATGTATTCCTGCGTGAAGTACTGACAAATAATTTTGAGAGAAAAATATTTTTTTAAATGCACGTTTTAAAGAAGGAGCCATGAACTTACATTTAAGTTCAGGAATACATTTTAGGAAAAGCATTCCAGGATAGGATAGGACTAAAGCCCTCAGTATGGAAGAGAAATGGACCTGTTGGAGCGTGCCAGGAGGATGGTCATAAAAATGATCCCAGAGTTGGAACATCTCCCCTACGAGAACAGCCTGAGAGCTGGAGCTGTTCAGCCTGGAGCAGAGAATGCTCTGTGAGACCTGAGAGTGGTCTTTCAGTATCTAAGGAGGGGCCGTAAGAAAGAAGGGAGCAGACTCCTTTAGCAGGGTCTGTGGTGATAGGACAAGGGACAATGGTTTCAGACTAAGAGGGAGATTAAGACTGAATGTAAGGAAGCAGTTTTTAACAGTAAGGGTGGTGAGGCACTGGAACAGGTTGCCCGGAGAGGTGGTGGATGCCCTGTCCTTGGAGACACCCAATGGCTGGATGGGACTCTGAGCACCTGATCTAGCTGTAGGTCTCCCTGCTCGCTGCAGGGGAGCTGGACCAGATGGCCTTTAAGGACCCCTTCCAACTGAAACGAATCTGTGGTATAGCTTACAATCTAAGTATGACTGATGTCTTTTTCTTACAGTGCGTACATGTGGGAAGAGGCAGATTCAGAGCTGCTCAGGCAGCAACAGAAGTAGTCTTAAATGTTCCTGAGACTCGTGTGAGTCCTCTGGAGAATGGCTTGCAGGTAGCTTCTGAAGACTCTGGGCTTTCAACATGCACAGTAGGTAACCTGTAAAGGGGATGTTTTTTCATAACTTCCTGTTTTTTTCTTTATGGAACTTTGTTGGGGTCTATAAATGCTTATTAGCAATTGTTCTTAAAAGGAGCAGAGAAATAGGATTCATAAGGCTTTTGCAAGTGTTTTGTAATGAGAATTTTGCGAAGATCTTTTTTTCTTTCTGGTTCACTTAAAGAAAAAGCAATTTAAAAGTAGGTCTTAAAAATCTTAAGTGTAGTTCATAGAGGAAAAACAGCAAAGTTGCATTATTGATTGATTAAATTATTATCCCCATTGAGGTTGGACTTTGGATTGATGCTGGAAGCCGATATGAAAATGAGAAGAACAATGGAACTGCTCACTTTCTTGAGCATATGGCTTTCAAGGTGAGTATGAGTACTGGCTTAAAATTTACAACAAATTTCTAAGTTAGTTATCTTTAGAGATCAGTGATAGGAACTTAGAATTGTCTAAAAACAGTTTACAAATCAGGGGGATTTGATTTTGGTTCCACATAGCAAAGCCAAATTTTTAGTCCTGTGTAGCTGATACAGAACTACAGGTTTGTACCAGGTCTACTTTTAACTTGGTCTTTGCTTTGTAAAATGTTCTTAGAAGACACAAAACCCAACTTTTCATTTTAATTTGTGAGCATAGTGGGATTTAGATCTTCCTAAATATTGGATAGATTAGTATGCCAATATTCATTTCAGAAGACTTTCTCTTCACCTTGACTTTGGCAGACAAGCGGTATTAATAGTCAGCAAGTGGATTCAAAGGTTCAGTTTCACTTCCTTATTGTTTTGTTTCAGGGTACAAAAAAGAGATCTCAGTTAGACCTTGAACTGGAGATTGAGAACA